AATCCGTCCAGCCATCTTTGTTTCCACGATGTATGCGTCCAAGAGCTGGTCCAATGATTCCGGCTCGGTCCATGGGGGAAGCGGTTCACTCTCCGGTTCCGATGGTGCTGGAACCAAGGCCTCTTCGGGACCTGCAGCCACTCCAAACCTGATGGAGAGGCATGGGGCATGAATGGGCATGATTGGGCTTGGGGCGGTGAGTTGAAGTGCTTTTGAAAACTGTTTAACAGTTTGACCATGGAACGACGCATCGAGTAAAAAAGTTGAAGGTGAAAGGCATTGAAAGGCTCTTACAGACCAAAGAACTGCTTGTCAAAGTCTTTGAGGAGTTCTGCCCATTCATTGCGGTACACGATGTCGTCCACATATCTACCCCTGACGGCTGGGGGGATTGATACCTTGTACTGCTGCCACCCCTTCTTCCCAGGTGCCAAGTCATACTCAATCTTCACAAGGCGGACCGGGAAATTGGCCAGATCGATCTTCTGATTTGCAGGAGTTGGTGGTGGCCTAGGCTCATAGGGTCTGCACTTCCCAAAGGTAGGCGATCCGCTCTTCCACTCCTAGGACAGTAGCAGTTGCAAGGTTTGTGATCCACAGATGAACCCTTCAAACAGTCAGATGAACCCTTCAAAGAAATTTCAATCAAGTTTAGCACGTTGTGGTATAGACCCCCTGTCCTCCATCAGCTCAAGAGCTAGTGCCTTCTCGACAAACTCGCAGATGCCCAAGTTTTTGGTGAGGCTCAGGGTCTTGAAATGGAAAGGTGAATCAACTGAAATCTCCTTCCACTTCCTGGTTGCACGTTCCACCATCCCATCGTACGGTGTCAGATTCACCAACGCAATCGTATTGGTGTTCTCAGGGATCTGAGCTCGTGCCAAAACAGACTCTAGCAAGCTTCGCACCATCACATCTTGCACCAAAAACTGAGCACTTTCTTGGACATCTGATAGACTCCTGGACCATCAGGCGAAGAACGTTCTTTTGGAATAAGCTGTAATTCTACTCCTAAGTTGACTCATGACTTGCGGTATTGAATCTTGTTCAAAACAGTCACAGGATATCACATGATTTTGAGAGTCACCCTTGCCTATGTCCCTCTGACGCATGCGGAATGGCATCCTTGCTTGCCACTGGGACAATGTACGATGCTTCCGCTTGCCAGGGACACTCCGCTCTTGTCGCCCTGACCAAGGACTGTGGGCTGCATGTGGGAGACGGGATAAACTCTGTCATGAACGTTAATGATGAATGAAAGAATGAATGAATGAATGAATGAATGAATAATTGATGAATGAGTGTCAGTCTACCATACAGTGGGTGTTTTTTCTTGACAGAGAAGCCTGTCACAAAACTGTTCAAGATTGCACCAGTCCTGTCTTGCAAAAGTTGGCAAGCCAAGAACCAGTTGCCATCCTCACTTTTGACACAGGAATCATCGAACAGCAACCAGCCATTAAAGTATAGTGGAACTTTCCGTGCGCGGGGTGGCTGCTGGCACCTCACCGCCATTGACTCCGAGTAGAGGCCACGGGCATCAAATTTGTCTTCCCAGCGTCTGAGCAGGCATGTGTAGCGTTGGACCGACGTTGGAGAAATGTCTAGGGAACTTAAAAGTTAAATGTCCAAGCTTAAATGTTTCGTTGAAAGCAACCATTTTTTGCAAACCTGGCCTCAACTCTCCTCTGTAGCCATTACACACCTTCTCGGAGCATAGCCATGGAGCCACCACAATTGCCACGGATGCATGGGGCCGTTTGGCCAAACCAGCGCTGAGCAATTCTGAAAATTCGTTCAGCTCTTGATTGCTGCATCTTCCGCATTTCATCAGATCAGCATAGATGATGGTGGGTGTGTCCGGAAATCTTGACAGGAACTGCAGGGCACAAGGTTTAAACATGCCAAGTCAGGTATACATTTGATTGCAAACAAACTGTATAACCGAGTTTTCCCCAAACACCGGGCCCTGTCCATCAAGGATTGCTGGTCCTTCACGCTGCCGCTGCCAAGAGCTATGTTGGTGGCCATATATTCCGAAACCAACCCAGCTCCGATGGTATTCTGGTGCCGCAAGTGTAGGACACGCTCTGTCCGAGCAGTTTGATCGCACTTGTTCACTTCCTTGACAAGCTGTCCAATTTGTGCACAATCCCTGGCTAAAGCAATGCAGTCTGCATCAAACTGAGCTTTGCGAGACTCCTTTGTGAGGTTGTCGACCTCTGAATCCGCTGCCGCCACTTTGGTGGCCACGGTCTCTGTGGGCTTTGGTGCATGCTCTTTCCACATGCTCGTGTCTTCTATCTTGAAGTGTGGGTCCATGCAAGTCAAGTAGTCCTCTGCTTCAGAGTTGTAGTCCCTTACAGGGTGACCCCGCCCGGTGGAAGGTACAAAAAGACACCTAAGAACTCATCTAAGTAGCGCTTTTTTGGTTATCAAACATTATGACTTCAAAGAAAAAACAAGTTAAACGTTCCGAGCCACCCCTCAACGCAGCGCAGTACAATGGAGCGCACAACTTCATCAGAAAAGATGCGGCCCCCGTGATCATCAGTGACTACTGACATGTGCAGCGCCATGGAACTGAGGAAAATCATCCGCTCACATTCAATCCCCCACTCTTGTATGTTCAACCTCGATGATGCTGATCGCGCTCCGCGGCGGCTTGCAAGATCGTGCAAAAACAGGACCCGTTGTACAAAGACACATTGCTTTTCAGGGGTGACCCGGAGCAGCTCGGTCCAGATGTGACTCTTCTTGGAATTTGGGTCCCGGCTCATCCCACCAACCAACCAGCGAATGTCCAGGAGCAACTGGTTTGTGAAGGCTGCAGGGCCGGAGCAATCATGTAGAAACATGCCTTTCTAGCCGCATGACTAGGATGATGTTCAAAGTATGGTTGGTTTCCATGTAGTACAGCCGTTTAACTTATTTATTATATAAATAAGATATCATAAGCCTGAACCCACTACCTCCACTCTCAAGCCTGAATGCTCAAATTTGTACATGTGCAAGTGCTGCTCGATCAGCTCCCAGGAGTCATTGCCAACGCCAGCCTTGCTTCAGCAGGCTTCGAGTTCAACGGATTGGTTTGAAGAAGGTGATCCCTAAGACAGAAAGGGAGGGCCAGGGGTAAAGGGAACGGGATCAAATGAACACATTGAACTTTACTGTAAATACTAGGCAAGCTTCGCAAAAGCCATACAAGTAGAACGCCGCGTTGGAATCGATTTGAAAACGCTTTGAGTGTGCAATCATCTCGTAAGAGTTGTACTCACTGATGGCTTTGAAGAAGGCTTCTTTCACTTTGCCACCAAATTCTGCAGGCTCCTTGACCAGGGGGTTCAAGCATGATCAAACATGGCAACCTGCTGGGATTTACATGTCGGTGAGCTTATTGAAACTCGTGAACCAGCTAGATCCCTTGAAGCTAGTCCTTCGCCATGATCTCTGTCGCCCTTGACTTGAATATGAGAACCTTCTGTAGGATATTCTTTTTCTCCCGCTCAGATTGCTGCTCATGCACCGCCAGCCTCCTCCACAAGCAGTCGCTATGTGAGGCAACTATGAACTTCGACTTGATGAACTTGACGGAATCCAACCACCTGCCCAGGAGCGTGCCAGGGACCCCAGAGCATCCCAAACATCAAAAGGGTCACCCTGAGGGGGTCGCAAACTGAGGACCTGCCAGGACGACGGTTTCGGTGAAACCATCACCCTGGACCTGATGCTTTGGGGCCTGGTGTGATACTATGGGGTCCACGTTTGATACTATGGGGTTCAAGTTTGATACTTTGGGATGCACTGTTGATACTTTGGGGAATAAGTTTGATACTTTGGGAACACAGTTTTGTACTTGGGAACCCTGTTCCAGGACGACGGTTTCAGTGAAACCATCACCCTGAGAGGTTGTGAAATCTGAGACTCCCCAGGGCGACCCTTTTGATCAGGGGGAGTGCCGGGGAGTGCCTTATGAAGTCAATTTGCATCTCTTCAGTCATGCTGTCTCGGAGTTTCAAGTAGGTCCAGAGGAGGCCAAATAGCAGCATAGAGATTCTGCCCATTCCTTTGACAAGGCCCACCGAACCAAAACTGTAGGGTGTATCCGGGTCGCTTTCAGCAGCTGGTTGTACTTCGACAATCTCTCTCCACGATTCATACCCCCGAAACCAAATGTCTTTCCCTGTAGCTAGCCAGCTGTGAAGAAGAGGCAAGCCGTCCACGGGACACGTGTAGAGAAACGCCAACAAAGGAATGCTGACGAGCTCATCGCTTGCAGCCTCAGACAGAAGTCGTTCAACTAAGTTTCTGTACATCATAGGCTTACTTAAGTTGGCCACTCAGACTCTACGACTGCCAAAGAGCTGGAAATTTGAAACGTCTGGGATCTGGAAAGCTGGAGTCTTGTTCCTGAAGCCACGTCAGCATGGGTTCCAGGAGGTCCTGTTTCCAAGCATCCAGTAGCCATTCCACTGGATGTGGATCCTCCCCGACAACGGTGTTCCTGAAGGCGAAGGCATCAAGTTCATTTGAAACGGGATGTCGGAAACCTGTTCACCCAAACCCCTTTGAAGATGACTGGTAACCAAGGGTTCATCCTCCCCACCTTCAGCCTAGTTTCTTCGCATCATTGTAGATTTTCCCGGCCCATGAACTACTTGCTTTAAGTTCTTTCGAGGATTTCTGGTCAGCCGAGGCTGAAGCACAGGGCCTTTTGCCCATCGGTGGAGCTACAGGACTGGCGGCCGGGATGGCCTCTCATCCAAACTCCTTGAACAAGACATCAAAAAGTAATTGTTCACTTCTCATTGTTCAATTCAATACTTTGCAATTAGAGCAGTTTCAGTTTCAGCAAGCTCTTAGTCTACCAGTAGCTGGCAATAAAGCAGGGCGGTCTCATGTTTTGGCATGTCACACGTTCATTTACACGTCAAGCCTCAAGGCCAATTACCAAACAAACAATCATTCTTGAGTGCATGGTTCATCTATTGAATTTCACTTCAGACCAACTTTAAGTTGATAATGGCGGTCAACAAAAGAGCCGCCACACAAGGAACTGACATTGTGTTGCCTGCCATTCGGCAAGCATGACTTTCCGGCATATGTTCAAGCTCCACGATTGGAGCCTTACATTTCCTGGCATGCTCGGAGCAAGTCGGCAATATGTGCGTTGCGACCATCTCTTGCGCGGACAGGAACCTTTTGTGTGCCTGGCGACGCAGTTGGTCGAGATTGGTTTGCTACTCAGTGAGGTGGAGTGAGAAACAAAACTTGAAAGGAAATCAAACTCACAGGACCCATCCTTGGAGTATATGAGTGAACTGTTGGTTGTCAGCGTCTGGAGGGACCCATCTTGCAGTTCACCCCGTCCCCGCTCGTTGGCACAGTACTGGGTAAGGTCCGGATATTGCACCCAGCCCTTGAGCTTCTCATAATCGCTTAGATTGCGTGCCTGAGAAGAAAGCCAAACAAATCAAGAGAGACTGGGACTGGGTTCCATAATTGTTCTCAACCCTCAAATTACTTGACTGAGCTGGGGTACCTGGGCATGAGTCAAGACTGCTGCGGGCAACTTCCTCCAGAAGAAATCGCCAGCCTTTCCAACAGCCCTGGCACCCAGTATGTGCATGACCTCTTCGATGGAAATGCCTCCCTCGCGCCACTGGACCCTTTTGGTATCCCATGCCAAAATCCAGATGCGTGTTCTCCCAGCAGGTACACCTAGATGTCTTGGGTCGATAGTCACGCTTCGGAAGTCCCAGTGTTTGGGTAGATGGTCACGAGCTACTTCAGTCCCATACTCCGGAACATTCTCCACCAACATGACATCTGCCGTTCTGGGGATCTCCTTGTAGAATGCCCGGTGGGTGGAAAACACTGGGTCAGCTTGACGGCGTTGCTTACCCATTTTGCTGAAGCTCACACAAACCGGTCCTCACAGTTGTTTGCGGCCACCGTCAATTGACATGAAGGACAAACGACATGAAGGACAAATTACCTGAAGCTTTGGCACAAGCTTTGTCACTGAGGCCAGTTCCTGCCACATTGACGTGGATTCCTTGGGCCGTTGAGGTGAGGTGGACTCAGTTGATATTGAACCTAGCATCCAAAGCAACCCCCAAAACAAATAGATAACTGATTATGATTCGAAGAGTCTTTTTTTTCTTCAAGTGGTGCTTTCTGACTCTGCAATATTTGGAGTGTGTCGTGCAATACTGCTTCTCTGCGGTTGAATCGAACTTGGTGATGTCCGCCACATTGCAAGGACTACCATAAGCCTGACATAGAACCTTTTGGCAGCTAGGATCAATCTCACAAGTGAATTCATGCAAGACATGTGGAACTGCCCTTGGCTCTTTCTGAGGCAAATGAACGGCCAGAAAGTGTTTGGCCGCCGACTGCAGGCTCATCACTGCCTGACAGCTTGCCGTTCAACACATGTTGAAGCGTGGGAGTCGCCATTCAATTTAAAGAGAACTTTAGGCAGTCAGTGTGGAAGACTTTTTAAGGGACTTAGACCCCGGCTGATTCTGGAGCACCAATCCCACTAAATGCAGATGAAAAAGTCCACGACCAGGTCCACAAACGCTTAGCCAAAAACTCGTTACCCAGTCGCTGCCCCAAGCGCTTCAGGAACAAATCCGGCCAAGAAAAAGCTTCACTTAAAGAGGCAAAGCCAGCCGGGTGTGAAGGCCCAGGGGCCGGCACTGTGGTCTTCGGGTAGTACTTTTCCTTGGGTTGCCTGCATCAAGAGAAGTAGCCAGTTAGAGGTCACTGATTTACAGTAAGAAGCTCAAGACTCAAGAGTAACAAAACTCGTCAGTCAGTCAGTGCCTTTTCAAGTGTGTCTTCCTAATAGTAGGAGTACCCCCATTTGTCCTTCAATGTCCAAAGTTTGATTGCCTTCAAAAAACAAGGTGTCATGCTGCATCGCATTAAACTAGTATCCAGTCCTCAAATCGTCACTCTTCTTGGTAAGTGCACGAACAGCATCTTTGAGCTTGAGACATGGCATTAGGAATACCTGGCCACCCTGAAAACTACCGGTTCGGGCCTGCACAACAGAGAAAGATAAAGGTTAACTCAATGTAGCAGGTGAACCGCAGCATGCTGAGAATCATGCTTCACAAAGCTGGGTTGCGTCATTTTCCTTTCAATTCAGTGAGTGCAATCACTCAATGAGAGATCCCTCCTCCCCAAGTATTTACTTAGCCCAGAGTGGACTGAACCTATTTAATTTGAATTGCATATCAAGCGGTCGACTCAGCCTTCCTGACGGAAGCGCTTCGATCCATTGCTGTCCTGCGCAACGAAGCAGGTTCACAGACACAAGTTACAGGCTAGTCCAATGGTATTTGGTGTCAACGCTCTTGGTTCACTTTCATTTTCCAATCATTTCACAATGTTGTTAGGCAACAAAAGCGACGAGTAAGACATATTATATAGGCCTCATCCAAGAGATGCCTTTTCTTTCCACCAGCCTGACAGCAAGCTGCCTAAAACCTTTCACTGGACCCTCTAAAACAATACTTAGCTTTTACTTGAGCTGGCTTGCTATGCGGCGAGGCGCAGTGCTACTATGCAACGATGACTTGCAATCAGGCCGGCTGAGTGTTTGACCTTGTGGGACATAGCATTGTCCTGGCGCTCGAGAATAGGTTCAATATGGTTCAATTATGTTCAACTCGCGTGAACTGCAAACTATGTTGAATAACTCTGTTGCAAACTATATATTCTAGCCTCTGAAGAGCTCAGCTGATCCAATACGACGACGGAGTCGAAGTCGATGCTGACCTGGTGCAAGTTAGGAGCCCAACAGGAACACTCTTAGAGGAGGGAAGTCGTGAGCGCCCCACCTGTTCTTCTGTTTCATGTGCACTTGAGATAGTAGGAAAGAGCTCCGGGGTGTCAACCTGGCGGTCATTCTGGGTGAAGTCATTAGCCCTGTGTACGAGTGAGCCTTGGCCTGTGTATCACGGAAAGTGTCAGGGAATGAGTCATCGATCACATACACCTGAGATTGGTAGTCCTCAAAGCTGACGATCGGGTCCTGAAAGACAAGTGTCGTTTGGATGTTTGTGAGAGGCATTGGAACACTGCAATAAGGTTGGAGCCTGAGCGTTCTGCCGCCTGCCAGTGGGTGGTGAGCGTATCCCAACAAAATCCATTTGTCGGAAGGGACCAGTCCTGGCCTGATCTTGTCATTTCCACGGGCAGGATGCGACATGCGTTACTGAGGACCCCCCCCTCGGAAAAGGCTGTGAACCTTCCAAGGTGTTGAAGATTCTGACTGACAAATCCTGTCACTGGGACTTTGGTGCCAAGTGCTTCATCTTGCTTTCAGTGACAGTGTGGTCCAACCTTTTTCCACTCAACAAAGATTTACCCACGGCGAGGCAACTGAAACTCCGCTTGGAATCTCATTGTTGGAGCCACTCGGGCAAGGACTGTTGGGTTTCCCAAGACAATCTCATCCCGATCCCCCAAACTTTCAAACCATGGTAAGGGAACCAATGGGCCTGGGTCATGGTTCCGGGCCAAATCCACCAAGAATTCCGCTGCTCTTCCGCTGGAATCCCGAGGGAAGCGTGTAACTAAGACTTTGGCAAGATCTAAATATTCTTGAAGTTTCACCCTCTTCACTGGACGCAAAGGTCTGGGCACTGTCGGCCCTCCATGGAGAATCCGGTCCATCAGCTGATAGGGCATCGCCAGCAAAGCTTCCTGATTGCATTTGGTTTGCTGCAAGTCACTAAGTTCAGTGCAAAACAGAGTAGCGTGAGAGATCTACAGTGCAGTGTCCTGTGCTAGGCCATCATCAGCAGCATTCTTCTTCACTATGCAAATTACATCCATTTCATGCGATTGAAGAGCACCCCTTTTGTCGTCAGACTCGATTCGCAGATTCCGAGGGACATCTGCAGGGCATTAGCCAGCAAATTAGCTCACTAGTCATTACATATCACCACGAGGTCATCATTACATATCAATACATGTTCCCCTGCCTCTCCTGGCGAGGAATAAAAACCCATGAAGACCCGTTGAATCCGTTTTGAGGCCTCCCTTGTACGTCACCGGAACCTGCTCATACCTCATCAAGACAGAGCAAAAGAGAGCGGCTGAGAGGGCTGTCGTGGACGGGGGTTTGCACAAACCCTACAGGTTGAGCTGAGGGACCATCCCTTCCAATCACGGCAAGATGTCAAGTACTGGACATTAATGGATGCTGTGGGCCCAATCCATTGTCTGATGTTGATTCTGTCCAAGATCTTCTTGAGCTTCCTTGGGTTCACCAAATTCTATCCCCGAGGTCTAAGCTGTTTGGCGTTGTTTGGTAACATCAGAACTGTTGCTGGCAGGAATCGACACCACATCCATTGGGTCACAGAGCAAGTCCACATATCTGAAAGACTTTGCTAATAGACCATAGACTTGGTCTTAGTGAAGGCAGGCTGAGGGGCTTAGGCCTGAACTGTGGATCGTACAACACAAACATACACAAATCATTGCCATGCGTTAATATATATTCCAAGAACCTAATGCTCCGTGGGTGTGGCCCACCTTTCCGAAGAAATACCCAGCGAATCGCATTTTTGCTCGTCCAACTAGTGCGGCTAGATGTTTCAGGCACGGGTTGTTCTTGTTTTCGCGAACTGTGTTGTCAGCCTGAGCGCTCACAATCTACCAAAAGACAATGAAAGACACAGGCGCAGCTATCAGACGAATGGACGTTCCAAGGAACCCATATGCAGCATGCGCTTGGGAGTGGGCGGCCACATTTTTCGAAGGTCTGGACGGTGTCTTGTAGTACCCTTTGGAATGTTTCGATGACCAAAGAGCTGTCAGCAGCTACGCCAGGGTGGATCAGGAAAAGGTTGAGGGACACGCCATGGTTCCAAACACCATGCACTTTCATCCTGGGGCGCTGAAAGACGGATCCTTCCTTTGAGGATTGTACTATACGGTCTCTGGGCAGGCACCATTTGGACTTTGGACTGGTCCATCCCATCCTTATGCAAAATACAGCATAAAACAACCCATCGAAGCAGAACAACCCATACACAATCGTGCAGCCAAATCTCCCATACAAAACTCAATATATCGTTGTCGTTTTGCAATGGCGACTGTCCCTGCCAGAGACATTCTTCGACCCCACAACCCAACAACCCTGATCATAAACTCAATAATTGGCAACATGTCAACCTGGCCTGGAGATATTCCTCTAGCTTCCTGTCCTGTGAGACTTCTTGTAAGTGCAATTTGTAATCTCTCGCAGTGTCGAACCTGGATTGTGAATCCTGGGGCTGAAGAGAAAGAGATTACCGCGCATTAAACATGGCACTGACTGCATGAAACAATAGGCGAGAGTCGCGTGCTGCTTTAAAGGCCTCCTTCATGTCTAAGCATGTGTCGCACGTTGCGTGCGTGCTGGGTGGTAAAAATCGTAGCGTGTTTCGCCAGCAAGTTGAATAACGCCGCCAAAAGGTGGCGTAACTCAGTCATCACATAAGGTGCAAAAACAATTCATCACAAGCACACATCTTAAACGCAACTGGTCCACGACACTTCGCTGTGCGGCTCTCTCTGACAATACTCGTAGTAGAGCATTTTCACGCTCCCGGGTGGAAGAAATCGAACCGGAAGAGATTGGATGTGCTGCGCGGCATTCGACTCCACCCACCTTGTGCCATACATGTAAGGAAAGAAGTTACTTTACTGACTGTGAATCTCAAAGGAGTCTGGGCAAACCACGTGGAAAAGAACTGCTGTGAACCCAAGTAGTGAAGACGGAGCTCTTCATCGTCTTCTAAACGTTCCCCACTTGGTGCAAAAAAGTCTTCAACTCTCTCGCTGTCAGAGCTATCACAATCATCGCTGGAGTCATGGCCGGTCTCAAACGCAACTCTC